ACAAACAACATGTTTGACAAGCTCTGTCTCACTCTGAAGTCGTCAAAATCAGGAGCTTGGGCAGCGACTTGTGGCGTCAGAAACCAACGAAAAAAGGCGTCCTTTAATGTCAGCATGATACACGGCTGGTTGCTGTTATAGTTTAATGGTGCTGGCAGCACCAAGGGGAAATGCGACGGCACAAGGACGAAAGTTAAGGTAGCAAAAGTTGGACTGTGTTGGATGGGTCCATCAAACACAGACTTACACCCAGGAGGCCGGTGTTCACTTCCTGTAAGACTGTAAACCCAACCACGTGTGTGTTGAAGGGAAAAAAAAACGTTAATTCCTGGTGTTGTACTCAGAGATGGGTATAAGAGTATTTTGATTACTTTTTGCAGTAACGAGTAACCTAACGCTTTAGTTTGCTGTTTGAGTAATCAAATACTTAAGTACATTTTCAAACAAGACATCAGTTACTTCCGTTACTTTTAGAACGCTGGTCCTTCAGCTCCGAAACAGCAACGGCTGTCGTTTGGTTCTAATAACGGAGATAACGTTAAACCTATCAGTCTGAAAGAAGCCACGGAGCTTGTGGCTCGCTACGTGGTCGGAGAAATGCTGCCATTGTCTATGGTGGAGTCTCAATAGGTGGAGTAGGACTCACTGACAGACATATTTCAGACTCAGGACTTGCATTATGCCTGGTACACGCTACACGCTGGTACTCACCAATTATCCCCGGTCGTCTTTCACGGCGTGTGTGATGTCATCTGGTTATTCTTGTCCTGTTTTTATTTCACTATTATTTGAGTCACTGTGTGTGTTCATGTGCCAGCCGACATGTTGTTGTAGTCACCTAAAAGCGTCAGCAGATGGCAGGAGCTACATTTGAAGCCCCATACGTAAACTGTCAAGCTACTGTATCTTCACAGGAAGTTCTGACAAATGTTTCACAATAAAAGCCTATTTAGAAAATGGAGGGATTCTCTCAGCTGAGGTTATAAGGGGCTTTTAATTTGAAACAAGTGTTGAGTTTGAAATGACGGTGCGATATGTTAACTTTACAAAGACAACGGAGCGGATAAAAAGTAAATATATAAACACACAGAGGGATTAATAAATAACGGAGCGTCTATAATGTAGTTTGCTTCAAATGAAGCTGGGAGCCTCTGCAGTTGTGGTGAGTAAAAGCCCCGCCGCTATTTGTTAATGTTATTACTTTATGTCCGACCGTGAGGATGTACCATTGTTTGCTAGCTTGATGCTAATGACAGTAACATTAACTCAGCGGGTTGACAAAGTGCCTCTGCTGTTTCACACCATCATTTCCCCCTTTTACTCTGTGTGGTAACATCCCTAGAGGAAATATTAAAAATGCTGGGGTGTTGTTGTCATATCAGATCGTTGTGTGTTTCTACTGGTCAAAGTGACGGCTGTGATGGGAGAATTGGATCTCAGTGAAGGGCAAGTGGTCCATAACTTTAATTTGGAGACAAAAAAATGTAGGCTTAGCGCCCTGTGGTCCATTGGCCAATAGGAAATGTAGAATACTCAAAAGTACTTTAAAAGTGCTTGAGTTACTTTTCTCAGGGAGTAACGCAGTAAAGTAACTGGTTACTTTTTTAAAAAGTAACGCAGTAACGTACTTTGATTACTTTCAAAGTAACCCTTACCCAACACTGCTTGTACTGACGTAACTTTGAAAACAGCATGTAACAGTTGACACGGCGTCCCAGAACGTCAACAACCAACACACCCAGGGTACCTTGGATATGTGGACGTGGAAAGTCCATGACCAAACGTGGACATGTGACGAGGTCACAGTGAGGATGAGTTGGTGTGACTTGGCAGCCCAAAGTGGGAAGAAGCAGCGGGTCTGTGGGGCAGCTGAGTGAAGTGGAGCCTGAGGAGGAAGCACCGGTTAGCCCCGGTTTCACTACAGGCAGATTCACTCGCTACAGGGGCGAGGAATTAAAACCTTAACAGCCAGCTTAGCTAGCAGTTAGCAATGTCTTTCACTCACTCTCGGTCTCTGCTATGTTTAGCTATTTCCCTGCTTTCCTGTTAGCGTTAGCACTACTCGGCTACCACGCTAACGCTCCAACTCCAACTGAGCCGGGAGCCGGGCTCACTGTCTCACGGAGAAGAGTTGGACTGTTAGCATGGCAGCCCATTAGTGCTAACGTCCCCACGCTTCTCCGCCAGGCTCAGTGAGTCATAGCCGAGAAGCGTGGGGATGGGGATAGCGTTAGCAGTAGTCGGCTACCATGCTAACGTTCCGGGAGCCTGCTTCTCGGCTCCGGCGAGCTCTAGCGTGGAGCCTGGCGGGCTCACGGAGAAGAGAGGAATGTTGGCATTAGCTCCCAGAGTTAGCTCTAGAGCTACTACTGCTACTGGAGTAACTTACAGCTATGGAGCACTTCTACCAGCTCTTCTAGTCACTGAGCCTCGCAACCATTTCAGCAAATATATTGCATTTATTACAGGGACCATCATCATTGAAGTAGGCAGGGGAATAGCTAAACACAGCTGCCAGGCTGCCCGTCGGGCTACATTTTACAATGCTAATTGCAAATGTTAGCTGGGCTGCCGGACTACTCACCTAACACAACCGTAACGCCTGACCCATTGCTGGGACCGAGCCACTAATAACTCAAGCTCCGGACATTAACCCATGCTATGATTGTAACATTAAATTTAATTGAATCGACATAGCGACATGTGCCTAACGTTACTGTAACACTAATTAAAACAGACATTTGACTTTATGTTGTACCTGTCCAGGAGAAGAAGAGCTAGCTCCGAGTCAGATTGTAGCCCCTACAGCTCTCGCAGTGCTCTCCACCTTGGAAATGCATGGCCAGTGTTAATCCGAGTTCTGTCCCTTTCTTTATCCGACAACTTCTTCGCCAACAACCGTTGTTTCTTTAGAGGTAATGTCAGATCCTGGTCTTCTTCAGGTGGACGTTCCGCTCTCTGCCATTTCATTTCGAAAATACGCGCTGCCATTGCTCACTGGCTGTAGCCTTTTATAGGGAGGGAGGGCCAAGGGCTCCAAGAGGAGGGATTCACATGAACGTACATGAATGCGCAGCCGGACCGGCTTGTAAACAATGGGCTGGAGATCAACACAGAGAGGTTGTGTGAGGTCATGCTATACTCCAGATGAAATTACACCTCTAGTTCTTCACATAGCGATTTTTTAATTCCTTCAATCTAGAAATGAAGAATTTCGCTTATTGCTCCTTTAAGGTTTCCTTATGTATTTATGGTTTTCTCCCTGTCTTGGTCTGAAACTTAAGGAATCCTTCCACTGTTGCAAAAAGACCTTAACAACCAAAGCAAGGTAAAGCAGCTTTATTTGTACAGCATGTTTCATACAGCAGGGCCACTCAAAGTGTTTTACAGAGCAACTAAATATAAAACATAATAAAGGAAAGGTCAAATTAATTACCAAATGATTTACAATTTTTAAAAATCACCATTAAAAATAGCAAGTGATGTCCCCAGATGTCCCCAGATGTCCTCAGGGTCCAAGAAGGTTCATATGTCACAAGCATGTCAGAGATATGTGGGTGCTGAGTCACAGGTAAGAAAGCAGGGTTAAACACTCTGCCTTAACTGCAACATGACAGAGTTTATGTTGATAAATGAAAAACTAACCCACCCTGAGCAGAGTGTCTCTGCGACCAGGAGAACTCACGGAGACACGTCTGGTTTTACACTTCAGATTCGACTGAATTCATTTTTGTTCCAGTCGTTTCCTGTTTTCTGATATTTGGGGATCAGATTAACTTTATAGTTCTTGCTATGATCGTATTACTCCAGAAGTTTAATCTTTTCCTCCTCTGACCGGTATGATTTTATTGTCTTCTTTTCTTCAGACATTTTTTTTCTATCTGATCATCAGCCGACGCAGTGACATGATGACAGGCGTCACAAGAGTCCGAGCAAACGAACAATCTCCATGGAAACTTTGACTGCTGTGAAATCCTTTTCAACGCAGTAAATGAGTTTTTCCTTAACTAAGGGAACCTTTTAAGGGATTCTCTGCAACTGTGTAAGTCCCTCAGCTAAGGAGAAATATTCCATACTGTGTCATACTTAAGGAGAACACTTAAAGGGTCTCGTTCATGAAGTGTGTGAGTAGATCTGCACATAAAAACCTCAGTACTAAAAACCTTCACAGGGTTCATGAACGCAGCAGAAAACTCAGATCTATCGTAGGTACGTGTTTATGATCATGAATCCCAATCAATCATAAACTGACAGAATATCCAGTGACACCATGGAGGTGATAGTTACTGTGGACAGGTGCATCCTGTCGACCTGCAGACACATGGAGCAAATGAAGACAGAGAAAGAAAAGCTTTACTGACGCTGAGACTGAAGTTATGTTAGCTGACGGGGGGTTAACAGAAACATTTTATTTTCTTCTGTTAGTCCTGATGTGACTATTTCTCTTTAACAATTTTGTATTTAAGTTTTTACATTTGGCTCATGGCATCAGTTCTTCATTAAAAGTGTGTTGTTTGTCCGACAGCTGCTCCCTGTGGCAGCTGCACACATCCCACATCCACATATCAAACTCAGCGTGAAATAAAGTTTATGTCTCCCATGTTGCGTCTCTGATAATTAAATAAAACACAAATGACATGCAGTGTGGGGCTGTGGTGTGTAAAGAGGGCAGAGGAGTCATTTCTAATTATGACAACATATATGCAGTAATAACACAGGCTCCAGCAGCAGGTGTAGATTTTGTTGGTACCTATGCAAAGAACTGAGTCACTAACATGTTGGTGAATCCTGAAACACACACAAATTCATTCTGCTCATGTTTCATGAATCAAACCAGGTGTGTTTTGTGCAGCCGGTCGCAGCAGATTGATGATACCAAAGAGAATTTCTACAATTAACCAAATTAGTAAACTGACACAAAATAAAATGAACATGCGTTTCAAATACAACAAGGCAGTGTAGCTGACATGTGATGATTTGATCTGTAAATGTTTGAATTCTCAGAATAACGGGTTGACCGGTTTGGATCGGAATAACCTGGACAGGGATTTGCAGATTTCTGCAGACTGCACACCGTAGATGATGGGGTTGAGGCTTCCGGGGATGATGTGGAACAAAATGGCAGAAAGTTTTCTGTAGTCTGAGTACTGAGGGAAGCGGTGCAGGATGATGACAATATACCCACTGATCAGCATGATGAGATACACCACCAGATGAGTGCTGCAGGTCTTTAAAGCTTTACTGTTCAGAGACTTGTTCTTACTCATCAGACAGACGACTGTGATCTTAGTGTAGGTGAGAACCATGGTGCCGATGGAGGACGAGAGCAGGACGACAGTGAAGGTGATGCCGTAGACGTTATTGATGAACACGCTCTCACAGGAGAGTTTGAATAAAGAGGCGTTGTCACAGTAAGGGTTTGTGATCAGAGTCCTGCATCGGTTCAGCCGTACGGTCAGACCCAGCAGAATCCCCACCAAAACCAAAGCCACTCCCCAGGCAGACACCGTCAGCTTCATCACCATCCTGTTGGTCATTATGGCGGCGTAGCGCAGGGGGTTACAGATGGCCACGTATCTGTCAAACGCCATGATCATGAGCACAGTGTGAGCAGCGGTCCCGAACATGTGTGTGGTGAAGGCTTGGACCACACAC